GTTTCCACAAGAAGGCTGCTCAGATTTTATGGTAAGTATTTGGTTACTAACGTGCCCTTATGTTTCCACAAGAGGGCTTCTCTATTTCATGGTACAGATTTTATTAATATAGTCTTATGTCTCCACAAGAGGGCTTCTCAGATGTAATGGTGCAGATTTTGTTACTAATATAAGCTTATGTCTCCACAAAAGGGCTTCTCAGATGTAATGGCGTAGATTTTGTTACTAATATAAGCTTATGTCTCCACAAGAGGGCTTCTCAGATGTAATGGTACAGATTTTTTTACTAATATAAGCTTATGTTTCCACAAGAGGGATTCTCAGATGTCAAGGTATGGATTCTGTTACTAATGTCAGCTTATACTTCCATGTTAAAGTTTACCCACATAATGCTTTTTTGAAAAGTATCAAAACAAGTCCAATGCTGAACTATTATGTTGTCAAAATATAAGAGTAAACCTTTCATAACTAACATAAATGTACCATAACAAAAAGAAAAACATTGATAAATGTTAAAAATCTTGAACAAGATCCTTCATTTAAAAATTTAGTTTTATTGGACAACATTTGTTTTTTATAAAAAACATCTTCTCATGATTTTTAGTATGAGATCAAGTGTGCTAAAATAATAGTGCTAATACAAAATAAACTTCAGCTCTTAACTCATGGCAAAACTATTAAAGTGAAATGCAAGACATAAAAATATTTTCTCACTAGTAATTAGTCATTTATATTACACTCATCATTTTGATACCACAATGTACAATATATTAACTTCTTTTATATAACAAGTTTTAAATTAATAAAATAAAATAAATTCAAATGAATCTGATGAGTGACTATGTGGAATTTGGAAAATAATATTAAAAGATTTGAACAACTTTATACACTGACTGGTTGAAGTTGATAATTAGGATACTGAACTTGACTTTAGGGACATTTTTTGAAATACTTAGAATCTCTTTAGGAAAGTATATTTATATTACCAACAAAAAATAATCAAAACGTTTTTGTATTCATATGACTGATTTGATGGCATATGATACAGTCACTAGACAAAAACTGATACTTGGGTGGGGAGCACAAGACTATCAGTAAGAAATGAGATAGCATTATATAAAACATTTTAATAATTCTACAACTATGTGTAAATGCAAATTGAGAGGCTCAGATAGCTTCAGTTTAAATCCCTTTCTAAGCTTCAACTTGAATTACTCCTTATCTGTTATTCAGTTTAAATTCTAAAAATATCTCAACAAATGAAGGATTAGAAACTACTTCTAGACCACAAATCAATGGTATTGTTACGTCTCCGTTCATTCGTTAATTTTCTGTAAATTCGTTCCGACGAAACTTTAGCGACACAAGTCCTTTCTTAAATAAAACTGGTTTATTCTTTCCGAATACAACTTTACAATACACTTAATTTCAACAGTCGCTCTATAACAAACGCTATAACTCACGTCTCAAGTGGCCAAAAATACTCTGTCCACATACATATTCACTGTCCCCGTCACGTTGTGACCGTCTTATATATACAAGACTAACACATATCTAGTAAACGCTAGGGCATTCATGAAGGAACAGGATATTTCTAAAAAGACGTGGTGTGATACTAGTCACGTGACCTCGCTGATGCAACAGTATAATTTTCTCCAGAATGAGGATTATTACTGGCTATATTCCCTAAATCATGTCTTTTGAAGTGCTATTGCTTAATGAAACATATTAAACATCCTTGGAGCCATGACAACACTCACCTTTGTAGTGGACTACATAATTTTTTTAGAAAACATCTTTTGGATAAGTTTAGCTGTTCTTAACATTCTTATTATCATTAGCCCTTGAGAAACTACACACCTATAAATGAGATTAAAAGTTTTCTGAACCTTTTACTCCATAAGCATAAGCAATGATCAATATTTTTACTCATGAAAATCTATTTTTCACTTTCTGAAAATGTGTTGCTAGCTTAATCAATGTGAATTTTACCTTTTAGACTTTCTTCAGTTAAAAACCCTTCATCACTGGATTTCTCTTTTGATAAGCCATTTTTTTTTCTGTGCAGACCGAAAAGTCTAGCAAACTTTGAAGTTCCTGCAGGTAAGAGGAAATAATATTTCTATAAGGAATCTGCAGTCTGTCTAAAGCTGTGGACAAATTACTTCTACCTCACATTCTCTTGTACAGTAGAGATAATTGATGAGGAAAAATCAGTGTTATAAACAAATCTTCATACACACAACAGAAGTACATAAGATCAAAATACTGATATTCTATGTTGCCTTAGAAAATATAAAAGAAGTCATCCACATACTGTTAGAAGGTAAGAATCATATTTTCAATATTACATATTATGCGAATTTCTTTTTTGTGGCACTTAATAAGAAGAAAATATTTTTAAGTAACATTTCAGGCTTTTAATGTGAGTAGTCATATTTGTATTAAGTAATTTATTTGGACCATACCACATTTTTTTATTTTTTTAATGCACAAGCTTTTGGCTCAATTAATTAAGCTTTCAACAGGTGCAAGATGTTTAATAAACAACAGGATCTAATAGAACAGTTTGATTCGCAAGTTGCCTAGCAACAACAAAAAAACAACAAGAATATGCCCCAAGTTTCTTTACAACAATAAGCCTGAAGCCTAATAAGCTAAAACAAAATAATGTTACAATGTGAAGAAACACAGCAAGCAATATTATTATTGTGGTTTGTTAACATAATGCTAGAAAGATAAAATCAACAGTAAGAATAAATAAATTAAGATAAAAAAAAAGGGTTATTTTTATAACAGTATTAGAGTCAACGTATGGTTTGATTTCTTTAATGAAAGGTACCCACCAAGTATGAAGAGGGAATCCATGATTTTGGTTAATGCCTGTAGGAGGACAACAATCATGGGCTACTATTGCAATGGCTTCTTTAATTTTTGGCAAACAATGACCCATGTTACAGGACATAAAATAAACTTTTCATTTCCTTTATGTCCTATAACATGGGTCATGGTTTGCCAAAAATAAACCTTTATTCTACATTAGCAAATTTTACAATTCATCCCCAACAAATAGTGTTTAACTTTCAATGCCAAGTAATTCAGAAAGAAACATTATATATTTAAAAGTAACACTACCCTAACTTACTATAAGCTCTGCTAACAAAAAACACATATGTCAACCATATATTTGACTACAGTTGTTTTTCTTCTTATTTGATTTAATTAACCCTTTACCATTTTCAAAACTATTTGAATCCATAACCAACTACTTATAATGAATGAAAATACGAAACATCTGCAGTCAACATGATTTAATTTACTCCTGTTAGGCCTATAAATCCTCTTAGCCTTACCAACTTAGGTGTTTTATCCCAAATGAATCAAAGTCAATGTCAGTTTCAGATGTTATAATTTTCCTATACTGAAAATATATTTCTGATAGGAACTTGTTTCCACTCACATAAATAGCTATTCTTATTCAGTGCTTTTTGCATGCCACAAGCCTTGAGCTCCCACATACCTTCCAATCAAATGGTTCAACTGTGTCTTGCATGTAAATCATCATGCAACAAATCCCCATCAATAGAAGTGCGACACAATCTCCTGATGCATGTGACTCCCTCTATTTAATTCTATCAAACTATCACATCAAGTTTTGACAGCAAATGGAAGCACCAGTTTTCAGTGGAGAGGAAGGGTGGGAAGTGTGAGAGGAGGTAAGTACCTATCGGAAATATATTTTCAGTATAAGAAAATTATAACTTCCAATACGGTACATTACCTCTTCTCACATAAATAGCTAGAAGCCCACACTAAATAGGTGTAGGGATTTGTGCGAGGGAGCATCTGAAGAACACCCTAAAAGAGTAGATCTTTGCATTAAAGTATCATATGTGGGAGACCACACCACTACTCTTTGCCCAGTGTGGAAAGAGGTGTCGCCAACATGGGCAGAAAATATGAGGAGCACATCCAAAAAGGAGAGAAGAATGCTTGGGTAGGGATCGAAACCATAATATATAGGAATATAAACCCCATATAGTACATTAATGTGGATGAAAGTAAAAGGATTTACCCCTAAATTGTACAGTGGCTAGGGCAAGGCAAGCCAACTGAGTCCAAAATCCAGCTGTCAGGAATCAGCATTCATGCAGGAGGAGGAGGATCATAATGTTGGTAAGTCAACTACAATTCAAAACTCAGTCACCAGGAACCAACATCCATGAGGGGGTAGAAAAGGGGATCATACTGCTGGCAAGTTAACTATAATCCAAAACCTAGCCACCAGGAATCAACATCCATGAGTGGAAAGAAATGAGGATCATACCACCAGCAAGTCAACTACAATCCAAAAACCAAGCCATCTGGTGGAGGTAGGAAAGAGGATCATACTGTCTTCACCTCAAGTTCAGAAGAACGGAGGGAACCTCGCACACACCAATCTGTGAATGGGACACGAGTGCAATGTGATACTCAACATACAGTCGGCATAATAAAAATGTCTCTGTAATGGCAACTAACCCACTCAAAACCATCCTAAAAGAACCCCCCCAAGAGGAATAACATCCTTGGTATATGAAAATCATCAAGAGATAGCGGAAAAGGAAGAACCGTATTAATGTGTAAGTTTCACTACCATGACCCACAGCATGGGTGGAGGGAATAAGAGTATAATTGAATGATGAACAGAGACACCTATAATACATGTGTGAGGACTTATGTTGATTGGTTCAGCTCTGAATCCCAGCCACTGGGATCCGACATCTATGTGGGGGTAGGATGAGAGGTCCCAACTGAAGGGGTGAACTGCAATTATAATGGCTCACTCCAAAGCTACAGAATCCCTTTGGATAAATCTGTACAGAGATGGAGCATCAGATTAGAGGAGATCTTGTCATCTACACCAGCAGAACACCATTTTTTGTATCGTATATCAATATCGCAATCAGGAGGATGCTTCCATGGTCCACCACCCCAGCGGCTTGGAACTGGAAAGTGTAAGGACTTCCATACTCCACTGGTAGAAAAAGGAGGGAGAAAATGCAGTGAAGAGTCCAGGGGAACATCAACACCAAAGACAGTGCAACGGGTGACCACAAAACCCTATTTTGAACAGCAGACCATACCTGATTTATTCAATCAAAGGCTTGGCAGGGATGGGCAGTAATCCCCTTTTGTTTTACCTGTGAAGTCCATGGGTAAGTACGGTCCGGAACTAGCATATTAACGAAGTAAATATATGCCGTGGAAAAACCTACAAGTAATCTTGTGGAACACTCCATCTCAACAGTGGGAATTTTATGGCCATATAAATTATGAATATACAGTCAACATGGCCTGACAGTGCGGATTTGACTATTTTAAGCATACCTGGTTAGGCACCAATCGACACAGAGTGGGATTTATACAGTATAAAAAAAAAGAAAGGGAAAAGCCAGGGAAAAATAAGAGGTATAGAAAAGATAACTTACCCAGTCACAGTCTCACTTAAGTCTGATGAATGGCTACAAGTGGAAGACTAACCTGACAATGAAGAAACATCGCACCAATGCAGATAGTGAGATATGAACGTATGTGGTGTAGTCCACATGCCCGAAGGAAGAATTTCCTAGAAGGGACAATGGAGATGACATGAAAGGGAAAGGTAAGGTGCCTGATCTGATGAAAAGACAACTGGAACAAATTATGGGAAGAAGAAGAAAAAGAAGAATAAGCCAATCAAATTCAAAGCAGAATCCAATGTGTCAGAGTGGAAGGAGAAAGGTCACGAACAGAGGATGTCTGCCAAAAAATGAACAGGTGGAAGCAGGCACCACAGAAGGAAGCCATGCAGGCAACATAATAGCAAAGAACACTTACAGGAAATAGAAACCTATCCTGATCTGATCGAGGATACAGGTGGGAAATGGAAGGGAAATCAGCAAGTAGGAGGAGGTACCCTCACGAGCTACCAAAGTTTTGGGAAGGAAAGACTGATCCAGATAAAGGATAATATATGTGGAATAATATAGAATACGTTAAATGTCAATGGCAAATAAAGCTGACTGACGGTGTCCACAGGCCCGTAGGAGAAGGGAATAAGTCTTAAGGGATAAATGAAAACTCGACCATGAGGACATAGGTTCAAACGGAGGCAAAATAAGGCAGTGAAAAACCACAATGACATTCCAATAATGGTGGACGATAAATCTGGAAGGAACATAACAGTATGGAATGGGTAGGAGTGGTAAAAACTTTATGGTACCCGGCAAAATGAAAAGTATGGGATAAGGCAGCCCGATAACCCACTATTGAAGAGACAGAAGATCTATGATCAAACAGCGATGTGAGTATATCTGCAAGACGAGAAATAGTGGGTCGAGCAGGGGAAAATCCTTGACCCAAAGACCAATGGGGTAAAACGTTCCACTTATGTTGATAAACATCCATAGAGGAAGGGCAAATGGAACAAGCTAAAAAAGAACGGACCTGATGTGACAAACCAGATTTCCTCACCAGAAACCAGATAAAAATCAGGCATGACAACAGAGGATATAAAGGGCCGGATGATGTGCTGGTGGCTGAGGGTGATGTAGAAGGAATGAAGTAAGAGAAAGAGGTAATAGAGAGGCAGACTGTAGCTGGAGCAGCCATGGAAACCACAGTTGTGCCAGCCAGTTAAGAGTAATTAAATCAGAAGGACTTGACATGGAGTGGCATGGATGATCAAAATCACCCTGGGAAGAAGATGTATGGGAGGAAAAACATACAGGTATTTGTTGGTCCAATCTTGACTGAAAGCACCTACAGCCAGAGAAAGTGGAGACCAAGACATAGGTAACTTGGTATTGAGGGATATGGCAAAGGCATCCAGGTGAGAAATACCCCACTGAAGGTATAGCCACTGGAAAACAAGAAGATTGAGAGACCACTACATCAGATAAACTTTGTCAGGACAGAAAAGATGATCTGCAACAAGATTGAATGCACCCGGAACATGGCATGCAAGGAGATGAATACCAAGCCTGTGAGCTCAAAAAAGGTTCAACCACAAAGGGAACAAGAATGGGTGCCACCTTGGTGAGTGATATAAGTCACCACTGTAGAATTGTCAGATTGGATCATGACCAAAATATTCCTGGCAAGATGAAGAAAATGATCCAAAGCACGACGTATGGCCAGAAACTCCAGGATGTTGATATGATAAGATCTTTCAGCTGGAGACCATTAACTAGAAGCTTCCTGCTGATCGACCCATACCCTCCATCCCTGAATGGAAGCATCCGTGAAGACATGGAAATCCGAACGGGGTGGGGAGGAAGTGAAACACCTGCCAATGTGTGAGCCCTGTCCAACCACTAATGCTGACATGAGAAGGAGGAAGACAAATAGGAGACTCTAATGGAACCTGCATCATATTGTACTGATCATGCTGAGCACACTGAAGAGACCTCATATGTGCTCGACCCAAGGAGATAAGAGCTTCCATAGCAGACCACATCCCCAAATGCGAGAGAACTTCATAAGCTGTAACAGAGGGAACAGTAAGGGCACGGAGAACTGAAAGCTCCATCGAATGAAGTCAAAGAGGAGAAGGTTGGGCCGACTGAGATGAGTGTTGAAAAAACACCCAAGTGTACAAGATATTGGGTAGGTATAAGGAATGACTTCTTCAATTGGATTAACCAACCCACATGAACTGTCTCCAGAAATAGTAGAAGAGCGTGATAGGTGGATTCCTGTTCGGAACGAGCTAACAGAAGCCAGTCATCCATGTAATGATGTAAGTGCAACCCTGAGCATGCAAATGTTGGGCAAAAGTCTTGATCACCTACAGTCCCCAGTTTTCTAGGGTACCACAAACAGCCTAGACTAAAAACCTGGAGAAGGATGAGTGACAGGTTTTATAGCATTCTGGGAGAGAATATCTTGTACTGCCTTTGACAGATGTTGACTAGTGGTTGGATCTCAAGGCAATGGAAAGGATATAGGTTCCTGAGAAAACAAAGGAGGGGAAAGAAAGTGGATGATAAGTCCCTCAGATAATACCTGAATAACCAACAGATCTGTGAAAAAAGTCACTAAAGGGGAACTAAATCGGTCAATCAAGTCTCCACTGGAATGGAGCTCACTGGGTAATCACCAGTACTGTTGGCAACACATCCATCTGCATTAAATAATATGATGAGAGGAGGAACCCCTGGAGGTAGGAAGGAGCAGGAGGAGAAACTGTAATAGGAGGTTGTCTAGGCTCTGAAGTAGACGAATGATCCACCAAAGAAAAAAGGGTCCTTTGTTGTCTCATCGATTTCAGAGTCACAGGAATATTACCAAAAACATACCACTGTAGAAAAGAGGCCATATGCAAGTCCCAGAGTTAAGTTGATGGTAAAATGATCCTTGGACAAAACAGCATCCCTCCCCAGGAGATCCCAACAACAGAGAAACCACATGTTTATGGAAAGAGCCAAAGAACACAAATGTGCTAACACAGAGGTAATCATGGAGATGCTATTCTTCAAAAAACCCTCAGGATCTTAGTTTGTTTGCTATGAATTTTGTGCAAAACTGCACGAGAGCTATCTGTGCTAGCCGTCCCTAATTTAGCAGTGTAAGACTAGAGGAAAGGCAGCTAGTCACCACCACCCACCGCTAACTCTTGGGCTACTCTTTTACCAACGAATACTGGGATTGACTGTTACATTATAATGCCCCCATGGCTGAAAGGGCAAGCATATTTGGTGTGACAAGGATTCGAACCCGTGACCTGCAGATTGCGAGTTGAGTGCCCTAACCACCTGGCCATGCTGGGCCTAGGATCTTGGTGGATCACCGGAAAGGAGGTGGATGGTAGACAAGCACTGTAGGAGATTCGATAGGGCAAGACAAAAGAGGGAAATATTGGGCATAGGATAAACAAACAGGATGATCAGGGTCTGCCATCCCACATGAGCAAAATCGATTCCAACTGTTGAGATCCGAGAAACGGACAGTCAGCCTGATGGTAGGCCAAAGCAAACTGATCCGAAGTCCATGGAGGACGAGGCATGCTAGCACCATTAATCATCTGAGAAACAAAATGCTCTGCACGAACCCTAATATCCGAGGAAGGGGGGAAAACCAAATACTGAGTGGCAGAGGTATCCGGTAACATGGAAGGAAGGGGATCATATAAATTGGGGAAATGGATAAAAGAGAAATCATGTCTAAAAATGCTATATTGGGCCTAGCTGATTCCGCAGTAGGGGTATAAGAAGACACAGAAAAATCAGGTGGTGGAAGAAGGATGTCAAAATCCTCATCGACCCAAACAGGTTCGGCATGTGCAGGAGGAATAGGGGCAACATGATGAGAAGCAGGGTAACTCACATAACAATCAATCTTACGGCAGATGAGAGCCAATGAGTCCATTGACAAATTACTCCTATTTTTAGCTTGTGTGAGTGTGCTACTAGAAGGTATGACCCCCGAAGTGGTAATTTGTACTTCAGAATTCACTGTGTAACAATGAATAATCAAACACAACCCTCTGATGAAAGAAATTTAAAACTGGGAAAAATAAGTTAGCAGAAAATTTGTTACCTTTGAATAAAAAACAAAACAACTCCACATTGGAATTAATATTAAAAAAATGCACTATGTTGAACAAAAAAAATACGATTGAATGGTACACAAAAAACGTCTTGACATGAGTACTGCCAAACAAGAAGCGAAAGAGGGAGTCACATGTGACAGGAGAGTGTGTCACACTCCTTTTGGTGCAAGTTGTCACATGATGATTTGCATGCAAGAAACTGTTGAACCATTTCATCATAAGGTATGTGAGAGCCTAAGGCTTGTGGCATGCGAAACAAATTTTGCATACAGAGGGCAGCACTGAACGAGAATAGCTATTTATGTGAGAGGAGGTAATGTACCGTATCAGAACTACTTTTTAAATTGTCATTAAATTTTAAATTTTTACTGATTTTTGTATGTTTATTTCACTGGATATATAAAATCAAAAACTTCACTTCTTATATATATGCATTACTGTTATAAACTGCTCATGTGGTCAATCATAGTACTCCAAGATCCTTATTATTCTAGAGAAATCTAATAGATGCTTTACCTATGCCATATCTTTACGATGTTCTATGAAACTATCTGTGTGAACTTCAAGAAGATATACTGTTAAATGTGTAACCAGTATTATAGATTTAAACACTTCTTTATTCATATACTCATATTCCAAGCTATTATGTGAATTTTTATCTAAGCATTTGGGCATACAATATTTTTCATTTAGCTCAAAAACAGCTTATAACAGACACTTAGACTTTATATACATTTGTATCAGGGTTATGACCTTTTTCTGAAGACTTAGTTGGTGATTTTAGCTCCTTATTATCGTCTGTAGCAGTTCTGTCACAAGCAGAGTCACTTTGCTTTGCTGAATTATCTCCATCACTTGTGTCAATCTAAAAGCAAACATTGATCTACAGTTAGAAACTCCACATCTATATATTACAAAAAACTTGATCTAACAAAAATTAATAGACACAATACAACGACAAATAAGTTGATAGCAGTTACATATTTCAAGTTTTCAAACTGCATTCAGATATTTTTAATCATTTTGCAACCAGTGGTGAAGGTAGCTAAGTGAATGGTATATATCCATAACAGTGAAACTGAAAAATATTTAAGTCATTAAACATGTAAAATTAAAAAAAGACTAATTTGTATTAAAAAACATAACAAAAGCTTTCCAATAATATAAATCACATCAAGAATAACTTCTAACCATTAGCAAGATAATTCACATCAAAAGTTTTATGAATGTTATGTTATCTCATTAAGATTTAGCTTCTCAATTCTAATGATAATGTTTATACCTGCCACAAAACAAAGGCCTTATAAAGGGTAAAAATGTTTGTTTTGTATTTCCAAACAAATTCATACGTTTTTCATTATTTTACTTCACTGCTAAGCCTAATTTGATGGCTAAAGTTTTTAGACATTTTCCTTTAAAAATACAGATAATCAATCAAATTCCATATACCCATATATATATTTAACCACATATACTCAGTTTATTTTTGTTTGGTCCAACACAACTTTGGCAAGAGGAATTCTCTATGCATTTTGATTTCAACTGACAAAACCATCCTACGAGTTTGCTTTTCAAGTGGATGATTAATTCAAATTCTTGTACTTTACAGCTTTTACAGGCATAACTTTCTGACAAGTGATAAAGTGGTGTTAGTTTTAACATTTTAGTTTTTGGGACAGTTGTTTCAGTCCTTTTCTAGGAAATACATCAATGTAGTAGAGGAACTTCACACAATTTTGTTTTGTGAAATAATTACTTAAAATCTAGGTAATAATTACAACTTCTGATCAGAGTAGCCTATGTACTTAAAATAAAATTCACAATCAACTTGGCCATCAGTTTTGCTAATTAAATAACTTTTCTTACATTTCTACTTATAAATATTAGAATGCATTGTTTCATCAGTTTGGTACCCTTGCTTTGAATGATATTTTTGGCTGCTATAGCTTTATACTGACAATTTCATGATATGATATTTAATGATATGGTTACTTCCTATGAATTCAGCAGATTTGTTGATACTAGCTTCAAGCTACTTCATGGTCAAAGTGAAAAGTTATGATCCATTCAGCATTATAAACTTAAGCTAATTGTTTACCGACTATGTAGCTCTTTTATAATCAAAATCAGTTTTGTTCAATTTTCATAGTTTCATGAAAGTAAAAACAATTTGCATACAAAACACGGGCCTTCTTATTACTTTAAAAATGTTGTCAAATGTGCACCTACTATCAGTGATACAGTGCTTAATAAAAAAGTGCCGGAACACATTTAACCGTGTAAGGTGAAATTCAGTTGAAGTAGTGGCTGTATGGCATTCTGGCTGGAAAAAAGTACAGGTATGCTGTACACATGCATTCCCTCCCCATTACACCTCAGTCTACTATATTAAGTTAGATTGTTTTATAATAGTAGCTATTCTTGTTTTTCAGCTACACATAAAAAACACCCAACCATGATGCTCCTATTATGAAAAAGATAATGTTTTCCTTACCTGAAAATGTATTTCTGATAGATACTTACTTTTCAGCATACAGTAGCTGTTTCTTGTAGTCTGCCATTGAGATTTTGCACATGCTACTAGCCTCAAACTATCTCCTACCTAAATTACTTGTTTTGACATGAACTGTGCTAGTACATGATTTAATCATCATAAAGCAATAGCCCTTCACCAACAGGAGGACAATACATCCTCCATTTGCAGTAGATCCTCATAAGCACATTCACTCAAAATTAACTTTATTCCTAGATGAGGCAGGAACAGTATGAACTAGTAATGGGAAAGAAGGGTGAGCAGGTGTTCATAGAAGTAAGTATCTATCAGAAACACATTTTCAGGTGAGGAAAATTTTTAATTTGGAAACAATCCACATACCTTTCTGCACACAGTGACTGCCTATGTGTCACAGAGATGGGTAGAAAAAAATAAAAGATTAATCGAGCTTTTGAACAGAACTGGGGGAGACCTGCACTAAAATGATATGAATACCCCTGCCCTACTTCCCACTGCATTTTGCTGCCAACTCAGACTCTCTCCAGATGGATCAAACAATGGGTGAGGAAATCTCCAAGTTGACCACCCCAGCAGGTAGGAACTGATAATGGTAAGGGCCTTCCCCTGCTCCACTCAAAGATCAGGAAGAGAATTTGCATTGAGGAGACTAAGGAGAGACACATGGACCTGATCAGGGCTAACCACTACAAAGGACTTCTACTGGAGAAAGTGCTATGAGTTACCACAAAACATATTTTGAAAAGCCTGCAAGTACAAGCCAGGGAAGTCAGCAGGCACTACCGCAGTGTAGGATTTTTTTTCCACAAAAGTTCATTGAAGGCATGGTCTGGAATGGACATACAGATATATATGCCACTGTAATGGTCTGGCAGTGGACACATAAGAACTAGGGCAGACGTGCTTAACACTTTCCTTTACTCATAACTTAATGTATATTTAGGGAAGCAAGTATCCCACGTGAGACAACACTAGCCACAAGATGGGTTCTGAGGTAGAGACTATTACTAAAAATGGGTAAAGAATGAATGAGGTTAAACCCTGTTAAAATTGGTGAGAAGGCTGAAAAATAGCAACTTGAGGGAGAAGAAGTTTAGATGGAGATGAAACTACCAGATGATGATGTGTCCAGTGGTTACCAAAAGAACTAGGCCAGAGTGAGGCAAGGGAAGAATCTGATGATATGCGATGTGATAAAGTCTGCAAGTGACATTACCTAGGAAAGAGCAGTCAAGCTGGATAAAGTGCCAAACCCAATCATTAAGATCAGTGGGCTACAGACCCTTGAATAAAGAAAGGTCACATAGCAAGAATAGTTGATTGTGGGCATCCCGAAAGGGAGTCATTTATATTGAGCAACATCATAATGTCTTTATAGAGCACAAAAGATGACCAAAGTTGGAATGATCACTGTGGACAGAATATGATGGAAAATAAATGGGTAAAAAGGACCTGTCACTCTCCAAAGCTGCCCATGCATAGAGATGGAAAGAGCAGCCAGGGAACTAAAAGGGGTAAGATTTGTGGAACAAAGTACAGGAGGCATATAAGGAATAAATATCAAAACAGCGATGACCTCAAGCCAAAAGGAGAAGAAAAGAGGCCTTCAAGGAAATTTGACAGAAGAAACAAGTGCCCTGGAATTCAAATGTGGTCTTGGTGAAAGTGTTAAGAACCACAAGGTCCCAATCAGGCAAATGTGCCAGATTAGGAAAAAGAAGAAGAAGAAAGAAGGACTAAAAGAAGGTAGAAGGAGTGACGAAGAAAAGACAGATGTTATATATATACACACATAACTGTTTCAGTTTCAGTTTAATATGAGAGTTATGAATTAGATATTTTATATAGTGCAGAAGTCATACTTAGTTACTTTTTAGAAGCAATATTTTATGGTAACTTTGTTTACATAACTGTTTACAAATCATACACTTTGTTGTTCAATTGTTATGAATTAGTGATTGTTTACAATAGAGAGATTACTGCATCATGTTGCTAGAACTTTCTGCGTTTCTCATTGGCTTGAGTGTTATTGCATCAGAATATCTAGTATTGTGTGGAATGTTCTAGATTACTGCATCATGTTGCTAGAGCTTTCTGCATTTCTCATTGGCTTGAGTATTATTGCATCAGAATATCTAGTATTGTGTGGAATGTTCTAGATTTCTGTCGAGGTATAAATACATGTCAAAAAATCGTTATTTAGTTCTAGTTTTAGACTGTGTAACCATGAGTTTAGCAATAAAGACTTTATAATGGCGATTTTTTAATATGAAATTATAACAGACTTGTCAGTTGTAGGGAGGCAGGCAGTGACTGATGGACCAGTGGTGATAAAAATGCCACTTACATTAAGGAACAGAGAGAGCGCAATAATATATCAAGTGGTACAAAAGAAGGGTAATGCAATATGAGAAATTACCTAATGAGAAAGGAATGGACATTCCCATGCATTAAGATGAAGGGACAACATTTTTGGATGATAGGGTAATGTAGGAGGTTGGAGAAAGAAGAACCTCAATGATGAAAGAAGATGTGCCTAAGATGCGAGTTAGTGCAAAAGGGGAAACCAAAACAGAGCTGGCCAATAATGTGCTACCAACAGAACTCAACAAGGAGTGTCGTGGAATATCACTAAGACATGTGGAAGAAGGCAGGTAGCAGGGAACACATAGAGGAAAGAAAATACTACAGCCAGAACGGGATCAGGGACCAAAAGAACTGAGATGATCAGTCACTCCAACACTCACAGACAAAATGGAGAAGGATGAACCTGAATGAGGTGTGAAGAGAGTAACACTCCAAAGAAGATCAGATACAGTTAGAGTCAGGAACAACCACGAAAAGAAGACCAGATATCCCAGACAAACAGCCCCTTCGGGGAGAAGGGATGTGGCTATAGAAGATGTCTATTAAGTAGAAGTAAAAAGTAGCCAAATGTCCAGAATAGAATGGAAATGAAGGCCAAGAACATGGATTTTGGGAGCAAAAGCACTCATGACCTGGCTGAAGACATATGGAGTAAAAGCCACAATAAAGAGTAGAGTTTGAAATATGTATATCATATCATAAAAGACAAACCAAAGGAACTATCATAAGGATGGGGCTATTGGAATGTGAAGAAACATATCTGAGACATGGACCATCTTTATCCAAAGTACAGGAGAAAATAACCCATTGAGAGGAAGAAACACCTTCATCTGAAACTGGACAATACTAAGAAGTGGTTCAGAGGAGAAGTATGATGAGGGGATGTCAGTTAAATGATTCAAAAGGACAATGAAGAAGTGGGTATAGTAACTCAGAGAGGGGCAAGCAACACACACTATGGCATTCAAGACCAAGAACTCTATTGTGTTGTTGAGAAAATATGTTTTCCAAAGTCATTTAACAAAGTTTAGAATTTTATTGGATAATCAACATGGTTTCACTAAGGGAAAATATTTTCTTACAAATCTTCTGAAATTCTTTGAAAAAGTTACTGCTTATGTAAATGAGGATAAAAGTGTAGATTTGTTGTATGTGGATTTTCAAAATGCATTGGACAAGGTGCCACATAAAATGCTCTATAGGTGTGAGAGATAAGTTAGCTAACTGGACAGAAGAGTGGCAGGATGGAAGAAAGCAGAGGGTTGTTATAAATGGAATTTAGTCCAAATAGATTAATGTCACAAGTGGGGTACCTCAGGGCTCAGGCTTAGGACCCTTGCTCTTTTTGATGTACATCAATGACATAGATGAAGGAATGGTCAATAAATTACTTA